ATTTTTTAATTTATTTATATTTAGTTATTATTTTTACTTTTATTTATTATTTATATGACCTTCTTTTGACTTACTTTTTTAAATATTTTGAAATTTATTTTATATTTTTTATTAAAAATAAATTAGTTATTTTATCGAGCCTGACAATATGACTTTTTCAGACGAAAAGTCATGATTTTGTTACATAAAAAATTTATATGAATTTTTTCATTAGAGCACTTTTCTGGGGAAATTTTAATAACATTTCGGCAAATACATACATTTTACCGTTAATATATTCCATCATCACACTTTCTTCTCCTGTATTTGCTATACAAAGCGCTATACTTGTTGATGCAACATTGTCAATGCATTCCAAGCTAGTGATTTGTTCAAGACTTCTGTTTACGCCTCCAACTAATTCGGAATACGTTGGTCCTCCAAGATCAAAAAATAAGAATAATAAATAATTATTTGAAAAAAATATTAACTCGTTTAATATCAATTATAAAGTAATATTAAATCATAAATATACGAGTAATAAATATGATGGTTAATATTAAAAATAACGGAAACAGCTCCGATAACCTTGACCTTGATATATGTTGTCAAGATCATGACTCTGAGTAACCTCCAACAGGTTTTAGCCGTCGCTCGTTCTTCGTTAAAAAGTTATCAACAAAAAAGGTTTGAAAAAGTAACGATTTATTCCCGCTTTATACAATATTAAAAACTATTCTATACTCTTCCTTACTATAAGGACTTTCTATGCAAAGCAACTCTCATCCCTCTTCCTCTGCTTTGTAAAGCAGTGAATTTGTTTAAAAAATAGTAAATTTGTTTGTAAAGTAGTGAATTTGTTTGTAAAGTAATGAATTTGTGTTTTTAAAGCAGCTCAGTGTTTCTATAAGGTTAACCTTCAGGGGCGCACGACTCTCATCTCCGACTCTCACCCCTCCTCCTCCCTGCTTTAGAAGTGCACGACTCTTATCTCTGACTCTCACCCCTCCTCCCCCCTGCTTCAGGAGCGCATGACTCTCATCTCCGACTCTCACTCTGCTCCTACCTGCTTTAGAGGCGCACGACTCCCACTTTCGACTCTCATCCCTGCAAAGGGGCGCATGACCTAATAATAACTGCACGATTATTTTTAAAAAAACGTTATTGATTGCTTCTGCTCAACTCTAATTCTGATATCGGGTTTAATAACATCTAGTCTCAATGTCTCTCGTTCTCAAACGTCTGTTTAAATGCAATTCCGCTGGTGTCTTTTCCGTCGTTCAATGTGGTGTCAAGCGACAATAAAACAAATATTTGCATAAGACATCCTGTCTTGTATTATTCTTAAGTAATACCTTAAACTTCTTTTTAAAAGTGCATACGGCGTTCTCAGTCGCCCCATTTGATGCAGGATGATACGGTACAGTTTTCGTATGCTTAATAGCAATACAAACTCTTGAAACTGCTCGCTCGCAAATGCCGGTTCATTATCAGAAACAATTTGATGTGGCAATCCCCATATGCTTATATACTCTTTTAAAGCTCTAATTGTAGATTCCGAAGAAATATCGCACATTTCCTTAATATCAATCCATTTCGATTACGCACCGGTTATCACAAGATACGAGGTCTGTTCAAAAAGTATCGCGAATTTTGAATTTCCGCAGGTTACGTATATTCGATTTTCGATTTTTTATGGCGTCATGTTGGTACTCATGTCTCTCACTTATGCCGACAAGTTCGGCCATTTTGAATGTTCAGTTAATTTTTGACAGCTGCTTTGCTTGCACGTGTTTTGGCTCGTCTTCGATTTTTGCCTATTCCAAAAAATGGATCAAAGAATCTGTATCAAATTTTGTGTGAAAAACAAAATTAAGTGCGCGGACGCATTCCGAATGTTGACTGTGGCATATGGTGAAGCTACCTTGGACCGAAGCAACGTTTATCGGTGGTACAAAATGTTCTCAGAGGGCCGAGAAGATGTGAACGACGAAGAGCGTGCCGGACGCCCGAGCACGTCAACAACAGACGAAAACATTGATGAAGTGAAGAAAATAGTATTGGCCAATCGGAACGGTCAATAAGGAATATTACCTGCAAGTTATGCGCAATTTGCGCGAAGCAATCCGCCAGAAACGCCCGGATTTGTGGAAGAACAAAAATTGGCTTTTGCACCATGATAACGCCCCTGCTCACACATCGTTGCTTGTGCGCGAATTTTTGACCAAAAACAACACACTAATGATGCCGCAGCCACCGTATTCCCCAGATCTGGCCCCCTGTGACTTTTTCTTGTTCCCGAAACTGAAGAGGCCCATGAAAGGACGACGCTACGCTACGATTGAGGAGATAAAGACGGCGTCGATGGAGGAACTGAACAAGATCACAAAAAATAATTTTTTGAAGTGCTTCGAGGATTGGAAAAAACGTTGGCACAAGTGTATAATATCTGATGGGGATTACTTTGAAGGGGACAAAATAGATATTCATGAATAAATAAATAATTTTTGAAAAAACACAAAATTCGCGATACTTTTTGAACAGACCTCGTACATATGACCGCTAATCGGTCCGCAAAAATCTAGATATATGCGATGGTTTGGGCCCTGCAGCCACTTCCAAACATGTAACAAAGCCTTTGGGGAATCGTCCGCGTTCTCTAAACACTTTTTACTCGTTCCCCTATGAACGACCCCTTCTAATCTACACTTTACACCTCTTCCCCGATTACTTTTAGATACGCGTATTTCTTTGATTCTTTCAATTCATAACTCGCTAATATCCTCCCTACCAATTCTTGATTGTGCAGGCCTATTGTCCCCTTAATGTGCTTAATTTCAAAGTCAAACCTTTCACAAATATCATTAGGCTTTTCGCTCACTGCTTTAACTGACAGCTTTTCAACCGATTTATTGAAATGAATAATATCTAAGGCTTAAAGCCAATTCCGATCTACAATCGATGCGTTTATAGCTGGTAAAACAAATAATTCAAGTTCCCGTTTTTTGTTCTGAAATTCTATCTTAACCTTTAAGATATCAAGAGGGATTATCGGGTCCCCTATACGTTCTCAAATTACAGTAGTTTTCCTCATTATCTCATTTCCAAACGACTTAAACTTATCTCTTTTGATATTGCAGAGATCAACGATCCTGTATCAATTTCGAACGCTAGTACTCTATTTTCTACTTTCAGGCTTACTTTAAGTTCTATGTCACCGAGCATTTCACTATTATCTATATTATTATTATAAAACACATTATTTAGGCTCTCATTATCGTTTTTGGAATCTTCTAAATAATGATTCGACTCTTAACTACATTTTTAGTTTTAACATCCGCTCGTTTTTGTTTCTGGCTATTACCTTTCTCCTCTTTACTTGATTCTTTACTTTTACAAACAATCTCTAAATGACCCTTTTTCCCGCACGCGTTACACGCATAACTCTTAAAACGACAGTCTTTCGATACATGACCTTTTTTTCCGCAACAATAACAGGTTACTATTTTCTTTTTCTTATCCATAAAATTGAGTTTGTTGCCTCTGCTGTTCACCGCATTCCTCATGTCTGCCGCTTCACGTATTGGCATCTCCATGCTTGTGCTAATCTCCACCGTCTTGGCATACGTCAATTGTAATTCTCCCAGGAACCTCTTCCTGATTTCCTCACTGGCCAGCCCCCATACGAACTGGTCTCGAATGTGGATCTCCAACTGTTCCCCAAACTGACAATGTGCTGATAACTTCTTTAGCTTGGCTAGATACGCCTTAATGTCCTGTCCTTCCATCTGCTTGCATTCTTTGAATTTATAACGATATTATATTTGATTGCGGTTGCAGGTGCTTTTGTATAATTTCCGCAAGACGTTCCAATGTAAAATTTGTCGGATTTTCCGGTGTGCATAAATTGCAGAGAAGTTCATAACCTTCTCTTCCCACTAAAAAAATAAAAAGCGATACTTGCTTTTTCTTTGGCACATCATTACCTGAGAAGTAGTTTGTTAATCTTTCGAACCATCTTGTCCAATCTTCTTTCAACAAAAATTTGGACATATTGCCAACGGTCCCTTTTATAATGGCCTCTTTTACAATGGTTCCTGTGCCACGTGTTTCTTCTCCTCTAACCGCCTCAAATTCCGCTCTCACTTTTGTTAATTGTTGACTCTCCATCGCCAACTGCATTCTCTGATGCTCTTGTTGCTTCGCTCTTTTCACTAAGACTTTTTCTCGTTCCTCTAATTCTTTCTGAAGTTTCATAAATCCATTGTCGACATTTTATTTTTCAATGTCCCTGTGACTGCGAACGAACTTTGTTATTTTCGTTCCACACGCTCTATTCCTTTACTACGACGTTCTCGTTTATAACGATCACCAATTATCCTCATCGCCAATGTCATGTTTGCACGCTTAGGAAAGGTCTCGCAACAACAGAAATAGGCAGAACCAAGTCTATTATATACTTCTTATATTTGCTGTATCAAAAATGCACGCTATCCTTGGCATCGCCATTACAACAATGGTCGAAAGAATGTCTGCTCTTCGCTTACGCTCATCATGCCATCTCACACAGCGTCGCTCGGAAAGAAAAGAAAATACTATAGCAGCGCTTCCTACATCCAATGATAATGACTACTCTACAAAACTGAGTAAAGTTTCGTCAAATTAGGTTTTGCTCTCAATCTACTCTCAATTTGCCGATAGATTATGCAGGATTTTCTGTTCCGCGTTTCGGTTTTTGCTATCAATCTACTGGCATAGCACGTCTAGCAGGCTTTGTCATATATTTGACAGTAATTTACTAATGATATCAGATAATACAAACTTTGTGTACAATTTTTTATCTTTTTGCAATCAAAAATTAGTAACAGGCTCTGCTCAAAATCTGTCTCTGACGGCTTTGCTCAGGAAACTTGATTACTTATTTCATTAAAGAATTGTGAAAAAAAAAGAAAAAAGCAAGATTTGAATTTACTATCTCCAACGTTTCGATCTAGTATCTTACGACCTCGACCACACGAACTTCTTGTTACTCAGGTCTGTAAACAAGGTATATGACGCGCTTGAAAAATCGTAAATAATTAAATATCTCGTAAACATTTTGATATGATTTATACTGTTCTGGATTAGTGGGAGGGGTATATTATTACTACAATTTATTAAAACTTATATGTTATTTAGAATGTCCCTTATTGATACGTACCGAGCGGCCGAGATTGCTGAGAAAGTATTTTCAGTTGTTTGAAACAAGCGACTAGAGCGAGAAGTACGAATGTTCTCTTGCTATCTCATTCGCTCTCAGCACGCCGAAGGCGAACACACGGACATGGGCTCGTGCTTGCGTAAGTGGCTACCTATTTTGTCAGGCCGCCGTCTGATTTTGTGTTGCCACCGTCAATGCGGAGTTATTAGCTAAGTACTTAGGAGCTTCAGGCTAGAGTCTTATAAAGTGTATTTATCGCGTATCGTGTCCGCGTAATCAATCAGAAGTGATCCGTTATTGTGATTTCGCGTTTTACTGATTACTCATTGGTTTACGCGGTAACGCGATGTGCGACAAATGTCTTATGAGACTTCACTCTTAATTTAAAAAACAAAAACTTTACGTAAACGTGATATGTAATGCAATTAATATGAAAGATAAAAGCTTATTGTTATTCAGTGTGGATTTGTAAGAATCTTGTTGGAATTCACGGACATGAAATTATCCTACTTTTTTCCAGCTCGGCTAAGGTGTGAAAACATCTCTACAAAATAGGAGAGAAAGAAAGTGAGTGAAAGAGGAAGGGAGGGAGGAAGAGGGGAAACATGTACGTGCGTGTACCACGTGTCACGCGTTTCACGTGTAACAAGCAGCTGATCGCAACTGAGCGCCCGCGTCGGATGGTGAGTTGCGCCGTCCCTGCCTATCTTCCGTACGCGACGCGTAATTCGTTAACAATTTTCCCTTACAATTCAAAAATTAAACTTCGGATAAAATTTTGGCAAAAGAAAAATTGTCTCAGAATTATGTCTCAGAATTATGTCCCCAGCAAACGAGAATGAATTGAAATAAATTGAAATAGATTCAGATTTTCAGAAATATTGATTCACAAATGTTAAAATACTCGTATATGCTTTTCAATCTTGAATATATTTTTATTCATTTATAAGAATTGCATGGAGCATATTTCTATGCCTTTCAATTTAAAAATAATATTAGTTTTTTCTGTGCAACACAAATCGTGAATACTGTTCAATTCAAAATTTTGAATAGGAAATGCAGTTTTTCAATCCAATTGCATCTAATTGAATCTAATTGAATCCAATTAAATCTAAAAAAAAGTATTCGCTATTTAAAATATCCATTCGGATAGAAAAAAATTTCAATTGATTTTAATCCATTCCGTTTACTAGGTCAAGAATATGTAATTTTAGGACAAATGTTTGTTCTGAGACATCCTGTATATAAATGGTTTTTACTATATACATTCTAATATTAATATACTTTTTAATACTAATTTTTAATACTAATTTTTTGGTAATTGTTTAGAAGAACTACCTCACCTCCGATTTCGATGAAAATAGGCTCATTCGACGCGTTCTTCTATAGAATGAAAGAATCTGGCAGAAAAAAATGCGGGACTTCCCTGCGAAGCGAGATATTAAACATTAAAAAGGATCATTGAGATTAGGAAATCTGTCATAATAGTGAAATACTAAAATGCAAGTATGCGCTGTACTCACATTTTCATATTCTGAGGTTACATGTGCATGCGTTTTACCGCAGAGAAATCTGAAAGTGTACATCCTGGCTTTTTTTATGTATCAAACCAAGGACAATCTAGAGAATTATTCTGGTAAGGGGGGGGGAGGGGGGAAGGTATGACAAAATGCAAATATTTACTTATTATTAATGTCATTTTTAATATTTTTAAAAATATTTTTATTACTTATTGTATTATTAGAATAAACTTCTGAAAACGCCAAACGCGATTTTCATGAATTTTGACAGAAACATTATAAATGACGTCAAATAAATGCCTTCAAATGAATTTTTACTGACAAGAAGTTTAATGTCAAAAATATTTGAACAAAGCGACCGCACTCACAAACATGGTGCAACTTCGTCGTGCACTCGTGATCGTAATTCTTTACAATTTTTGCCAATAATCACAATCCTGTATTTAGAGACGGCAATATATCAAATAACCTGGCAACTTTCACTAGCTCTTAACTCTCAATATCGAATATTGCGCCAGACACGAGAGAGTTACTCTTTCTCGGAATTAGCCAAAAGATTCTATTTGAATTATAAAGATCTTTACAGGATCACGAACGCGGACGGCTCGAATAACCGACTACTCACGAGATTGGTAGAGGGGGTGATTCGTAGCCGGGAATGAAAGATATCTTGAAGAACGAGCAGGGCAATGCAACATTAAAATATACAAAGTTTGTAACAAGTAATGGTAACAAATATATTCTATCGCGTTTATACTTCCGTATACGCTGGATGGCAGATTAGCGAACATGCATTATAAGCGTTAATGAGGCGTGATTGCCCCTCCAAACAGAGTTCTCGACACGTGATATCAGATACACAGGTTTTCGATCTCGGCGGTATGAGCTTCAAATTTCTGAGTGACTCTATGAACCGTTAATACGATAATTAAAGAAACTAACCAAAATGCGATAATCGCAGTGGTAGTTAACTATGCTTAACGCGTAAACACTTCTGGCCTCGAACTCGACCGCGAGAATGACGAGAATTATTACGTCGGAAAGTGGCGAGATTCTAGAGCATACAAGAACATCATCTAACACTTTTCCGACGCTCAAATCCGGTACAAAATTATGATGCAACGATACAATACAATAAAATGATCTGGCTGTGGCCGCGGTGGACGTGTAAAAAATTGACTCAAAATTAATGAAACCTGTACGAGCGGGCAGGATGGCACGATCACGCGCTGCACGCCTGCTATAATATCGGCGACGCTACAATATCAAACTCAACGAAAATAATACTTGCGGATATGTGCGATTTCTCCGATCTAGAAATCAGCGGTTTTACAATACTATACGCTCGTCTCATCACGGAATCCTCCCCTGGCAACTTGTCTCTCACTCTCCACTTCGCAATCGCTATCGACGTTCTCGCATGTCTAGCTTTCGAGACACAGCTCAAGTGCCAGGACCAAGGTCGTTTCGGAGGCACGCAGGCACTATAGGCTCACTTGATAAGCCTTATCGCGCCTGATTGGTCGCGAGCCATCTCGTGAATCCGTGCGCCCTTGAGTCGCTGTCACGTTGCGCGTCCTGCATCCTTATGCGCGGGATATGATTGGCTTCTTTTGCGGTTGCTCGCAAAATTCTCCTCTACATTATTTGGACGGAGGGCCTTTAGGATGTGATGGGTTTTTCCGTTGTGTGATATCTGCTTTCGCATTGGTGCGTCCTCTCCCAGCAGAGGCTTCCTTGCGGTATCGGTAACGGGGTCTCCTGCTCGTTTTATAGCAAAGAGTGGATTCATCCCTTCACGCCACTCGAGTCTTTTCCTCCTTAACAAATGCCAAGGAGGAATCCGGCAATAAGATCATATGCTCATAAACAGAATATTATTATAAAAAAATCAGAGCAGTGTCACCTGCGTGCTACCTCTTCCTGTAGTAATCTCGTGCCTCCAATGCGCATCTCCAGTCTCCAGTCTTCATCCTTGACGTCCGTTTAGGACTATGTCTGAACTATTTTTCTTAACCGCCGATAATAAAGTCTTAAAGAAACTTGTAAAAAATAATAATAATATAGAGATAAGTATCTAAATTATAATAATATAAAGATAAGTATCTAAATTATATTTCACATCACCCTTTGGCTCACAAAAAAAGGAGTAATGGAAATGGTGGATAAACTAATATCGGTAGGATACAATTTCAGATAAAAAACATGCATGAAATAATTAATATGTTGTTACGTAATTGTTATTCTTTAAGTTTTATTTTCAGGATATTAATAAGAAACTTAAATATTATTTTAATAAAAATGAAAATAGGAAACAGAAGAAGAATAGCAATATGTTGAATAATAAATTTTTCACTATTTCACATGTAAAAAGTGTTACTGACAGATTTTCTACCATAGCGAACAAAGTTAATATGCGTGCTATATATACAATTCCTTACAAATTGAATAGATTTATTGTGACGGATAAAGATGACGTCAATAAAATGAGTAAACGTGACGTAATGTACACAATTGATTACAAAAAATATGAAGCT